GCAATTTTATAGAATATTTCGATTACCTTCGGAAAAGCATCCGGTAGATGCAATGTGCCAGTCTGAGGGGTTAAGCTTATTGAAATATTTCAAAATCTTTATAGCAGTCAGATCAAATTGTAAACCTCGATCTTTCGACACAGAGACGGGCAGAAAGATAAAAGAATTAGTGAGATGAAAAAGAAAAGCATATAAACCATTATCTTCTCTTTACTATATCCTAATTTCTTGTATCTCTCACTATCTAATCCCCGATGACTTAACGCAACGTCATCGCTGACACCAGCTGCCAGCCCTAGAGTGTGCTTGGCATTCTTCTAACTCTGGAAGAAAAAACTGCCTTACATATATTATTTTGTGTTACTTGAACCGTGTATTTAACATATGTTTTTGTGTTTATTATTTTAAGTTTCATGTATTATTTAATATGAGTTTATTTTGGAAGCTAAGCAATATTTAATTTTTTTTTCATATAAATCAATGGCAGTTACTTTCTGCTATTTAAGCGTGCGTAAGATTTTATAGCAAATCCCTATTTTGGTAAATCGGAGGAATCTATGAAACAGACCATTTCCAATTTTTCCAAGATCAAGTTTTATTCATTTTTCACTCTTGAAATGCAAATACGTATCTTTTAATGAAAGCAAGCTATTCATGTATACTTTTTGTAAAAATAATGAACCATGAAATCATTATTTTGGAAACATACTATGGTAATCGGAGATTAATTTTTTGACATTTATTGGTGGCTTATGTCAGTTAAGATTTGCACTATGCAAGTTAGGTTGTTTGATAGTTGTCTATGGCAAGCGTATGAGGGCTATTTGCCTAAAGGGAAGGATGCCTTCGTTGAGGATATTCTGCGGGAAATTTATTCATATTCACTTTTCGCATGCAGAAAACCACGAAAGCCAACTATTTAGCAAATATTAGCTCTTGGATTCGAACCCGGGGCGAGAGACAGCGAAGTCGAGCTTAAATAACACAAGTCAAGGGAACCAGACAACAACATACCACCAAAGAGCAGTCAAAACAATGCCTACATCAGTTCTCCCCGATTCCAACGATGGGGGGCGATACCCCGAGGACAGCCTTTTAATATTTAATATATAGCGATCTAACAGCAAAGAAGTAGACATGACAATATCAGTATGGTCTCTGCCGAGTCTGAACATACCGTCGAATTGTCGAAAGTTTTAGTCCTGTGAAGACAACTTATGTTCCCCAGTACCGAGTCAGCATAGGTACAGATATTAGCAGGATGCAAGAGGATACCTTCTTCGATCCCCCGGGGGCTATACCAAAGAAAATTAAGCAAAAGTGGCTTCTTGATCAAACACGGATGGATCTTCATCATATTGCAATAAATTAAAGGAACTCGAAAACGTTTAAAAACACTAAAAAGTTTTGCGTTGTGTTCCAAGGGAATCTCACTGTTTTAGTGGCTTGCCATTCATTTTGAGCCAAAGTCTCCAGATGAAAATTTATGGAGCTAAAAGATTGCACTTTTTTATAGGATGACAAGTTACTGTTGCGAATACAATTCAAACTTTAAAATGCAGCGTAACGTTTAGCAATGCAGCGTTTAAAATGCAGCGTAACGTTTGTTTTCATAGAATATTGGTTCAAGGTACATTATGGATAATTATGGATAATTAATGGCACTTTATAGTTGACCGCGAACAATCTATATGTGCTATTTAGAATAGAGATTTCATGGCCATTTTCCAACTTGGTATGCCTTGTAACCATCGCAACGACAGCAGTTGGATGAGTTTCCTAATCTTTTTTTTCCACTTGACTTCCGTTTAGCAATTTGAGTATCGTGAAAAAGCTCACAAATGAAGACTGGACTTGCATTATAATCTCAAATGAAGTACAGAAAATAAGTTTTGTGCGGTAATGTGCGACACACGTTAGAAAAGAAGGTGGGAAAGTGTTGTAGGCTGGACTGCAAACTAAACTATCTTACAGATAACTCACATTAAAGTGTAAGCATCATACATTCTTAAAACATCTTAATTTAATTAATCATTTAAAACCGCTGAACTGTGACAGTAAAATGGAAATGAGAAATAGCGAAATTAAAAGTTTTAACTGTTAACGAAATAATAAAAAATATTCTGTCAATTATTATTGCTTAGTTCAGTCAAAATATTTCCTACTATTAAAACTGCATGTTATATTTGTGATTTACATATTACACTTTAATGAATGCATGAGAAAGAAATCAGAAGAAATTTTCAAGCAATTCGCAGCGATCACAAAGCAAAAACAAGAAAATCTCCCCCTCTATTATTTGTATAATATATTTTTATTCCTTTTTATGACTGTTAAACATAACAGTGATCCCCAACGTCTAGTTTCAGCTCGGATGAAATGACTAAGAACACACTTAGGCCCATTTCCTCAAGTTTGTCTCTCGATAAATGCGGTTTAATCTCCTTCAGGGTGATCCAACCACAAGGAGATACTGAGCGAAATGGAAACTAAAATTCATTTCCAAACACTTTTGGGACTGGACCACGCATCTCTGAACTGCGCCTGGGCCGGCGATAAGGGCAGCTATTTCCCATGGTTTGCGTTATAAATAAATCTGTGGACCGAAAGGAAAATGATTCATTTGGCAGGCGCCGCAGAGCAGAGTTTGGAGAAGTTCTGGCGCGCTTATCGATATGCGAAAACTAGAAGGCCTTTTGAATGAGGAAGAAGACTGGAGGGCGCTGCGGATCTAATAGAGGCGAATGAATGTCCAGACATCGCTGTAAAAGGATGTTTTTCAAATGCAGATAGTTCCCTGGCTTATTCTTCAAATTCTACGCTTTTGTTACACATTTATTAAAGTCGACGACGAAAGTAAATTTGAGATGCTGACAAGGAACTCTTTTCCCTTTCGAGAGAAACGTTTTGTTAATTTTATCTTCCTTTAATTTTAATTTACGGATTTTGCATAACTTGTCAATGAATATTCCAAAAATGTACATTAGGCAATATGGCAGAAACTGGCTCTAGAGAAACTATTCAAACGTTTATAACTATTCATGCATTAGAAGATTAGCATGGAATATTGACATGCATTGTTTTGACTTCTTTTTCCAGAGAGATATCCTTTTTTGAACGATAAATTTTAAAAGGCCATGTCAGCATTATTTTAAGTGCAATAGTTTAGTTCGTCAAAAACTGTCTAGCCAGTGCAAAATTCATACCAAGAATCGTTTAGCATATTACGTCATTGTTATACTTTAGTTTCATTTGTGCGCATAGCTTCTCTGTATTGAAAGGTTCTTAATAAATTTGCATAAAAGGACCATTCCTAATATGCTTTCAGTTGAAAAATCTGTTGTCATTAGAGACTTAAACTGTATTGTTCTTCTTCAGGAATGGACATGGTGGTTCTTCTTCATGACTTGCTGTTGGTTGCAAAGTAGATTTGTTATTATAAATTTTTTAATTTGCAAAATATTTTGCCAATATAACGCTATAGCGTTTCGTATTCTCAGCAAGTATAAGTTAACGAGATGCTAGAAGACTGTGTGAGGAATTATCTTTAAGTCTTAAGAAGACAAAGTACAGAGAAGGGTGTAAAGGACCCTTCATTAACTCACTATCTTTCCAAAGATGGCACCGACTTGTGCTTACAAAAGCCAACACTTCTGCTTAATTCAAAAGGTAACAAGTAACTTAAAACAGAATAGAATTAAATAAGCCTAATGGCCTTTCACAGGTAGCTTAACGCACAGGCAGACAGGCAGGCTCTGACTCATAAAATTCAGCGTAAACAAGCTTAATGGCTAGAAGCAATCAAGGCCACCAAAATATAATCGCTAGTAAATCAAAGTGGCCTTCAGGCGAAAGAACATGCTCTCGTCTATTTTTGAACTCACCTTCCAAAAACCTTTCCTTAACGATTAACTTCTTTCTACTTCATTAGAATACGCGTTCGCTAACTCATTATCATTCAGCCAAGAAAACATGGATTGGAAAATGAGAATAATAGGAAAGGTCTTTTCAGAAATAAAATTAACTGTTAGATAAATTGCGTGAATTCTTAAATTATGATGTTTCGTATTTGTGAGTGGAAGAGTTACATTTCATAAAAAAATGTCGGCTAATGTTGAATTTTTTTTTATTACGTTAACTTAATCATTATACAACTGATTTATTTGCCTTTTTCTATTTTTAATCTTTAGGTGCTAACATAAAATATTTAAAGGATATGGCTAATTTGTTGTATATTTTTAAAAATTAATTGTTATTCACTTTTTGTGTTTTATAATTGACACTGTACAGTTATTCATTTTGTCAAAGCAAGAAACATGAAAGTGTGCTCGCTAGGGTTCGAACTCCAGACATCCTGATACTAGCTGGTCTTCCAATTATACCACAAAGACTCGCTGTAAGGAGGAAAAAATACATTCCATTCTCCCTCACTTAAAGAGAGACTGGGAAAAAGGAGTCTCACTCACCAAATTGTGGTGGTAACAAACTATTTTCTAGCTCATTTTAACTTAGGCGCTAATTGTAGAATCATTTAAATTTGTTTCGGAGAGAGAAACTTGAAAAATGTGCAATGTTCTTGCCAAGATTTTGAACTCTGGACCTCCCGATGCTAGCCGGACGTGCTTCAAATTATACCACAAAGGCAAAAAATGAGTAGGAAAAAAATACTTTACAAGTTCTAGTAAATCAGCGCTTAAGATAAACAGAATAATAGGAAGGTTACGATAACAGAAAAATAATATTAATAATGAAATTCAAATGTTTAGTTTTATCTGGTATGGATTCATACCTGAGACATTTAATAAATGATTCGTGATTTGTCAATAGTTTTAATTTTGGTTTTAATAATTTTCTCTTACATTTAACCTTTTAACCAGCGCAGTTCATTTTCAATACTTCTCTTACAGCTAGTAAAAAAGTACTTTTACTAAGCGTTAAAATATTTCCTGCAACAATATGAAAAAAAAGAAGAGCACAGAAAACCTTGATAGGGTAATTACCTTCTCTTCCTTTTTATAAAGCAGCTACTGGCGGAGGTCAGTTTGAAAAGAACAAATGATGCACAATATCATGTTTTAGGGAAATCTCCCGCTCTTTTTTATATTCCATTTAAATGCAGTTTTTTAAACAAGCTTTTTTCCTCCCCTTTTAAAAAAGGTTGAGACGGCTGGGTTTTGCGTTTTCAGCAGCCATTCCTCTTAGAAATGCAGATTCTAGTCTGTAAAAATAAAAATGATACAAACTATTCTTTCCTCGCTCCAGTGACTGTTACCTAGCAACGGAATATATTTCTTCACACTGCAGAGAAATAACAAATATGAATGCCACGTTCCACAAAAGACGCACAGCCTTCTGTGACTGAAATGAATTTATTTGCCTCGTTGGCGAAGCTCTGTTGCATCAAACGTGGACATTGTATCGTTATTCTCGTGCTGTTAAAAAGAAGCTGTTAAAAAAACGATTTCTTAAAAATTCACAAGAAGACATATAGCGAAAAGTATTACCCTCTTTAATTGAAGTAGATGTACACAGGATTATTCATAACTCCATGAAATATTTTTTTAAATTCGTAACAAATATAACACGCAAATTGTAACCAAATTTTACCACAGATGAAATAAAAATAAAATTACTTTTTTCTGAACTCTCAATATGTCTGTCTTCGCTAGTAAGATGGACATCTTACTGGAAAGATTTATTTAGGCATAGATAAATCTAAACAGACGATAGTATTGGTGATTTATTTTTGTCGCCAAATTTGGCGACCATTTGGCGACATTTTGGTTTGGTTCCTGTACCACCGTAATATGTATTGAAATTGAATAAATGTAATCGACTTTTAGCTGTAACTGTAATTCCAACCTCGTGTTGCTTTCCAGTAACTCCGAGAAGCAGAAAGTACTAGAAATATCTCGCAGTCGGTTGAAAACTGTTTAAGGCCGAAGAGGGAGTACCTGCTTCCAGTTGCTTAGTTATTATTGTTGTGAGTTTTTAGTTCCGTGGGAACTGAAATATAGAGCTAGCTTTCTCTTTAGATGCGCTTTGGATTGCGTTGTGCTTAACGTTTTTAGTAGTTTCAAGTGCAGCTACTGATTATACTGCATGATACTGTGAATACTTGTATGAATATGTCTGTGGAAAATTCCAGAGTTTTGAAACATTTCTTTTGATGAAAATAAATTTTATTAAAGTATTATCGGACTGTGCATTCAATTTATTACGAACTCGTACGCACGCAACAATACCCTGCAATTCCATCAATTTCCTTTCGCTTCCGTTTATGTCTAAATAATAACCTTTAATAATAAACTTTTCTTTATCTTGATTTATTTCCTATATAGCAACTCAAAACTTTGTTGGGTTGTGTTCCGTTTAGCTCTTTTAAAAACAGAGAATTATATCTTTATCTGTACAATCATCTATGATTTGTGAAACGCAAACACTCAGATAAATAAATCTCTATTTAATGTTGAACTGGAATACGAATAGGGAAATCAGCTGTATCTTATTTTCTTTTAACTTCTGTTCATTCTAAAACTAGTTGTTTTATAAATTTTCAGACCATTCTTATCATATGGTCTGTGTCATTTTCCTACCAGCCACCAAACAAATAAAGATAGGTTTGCTTCAGAAAACTTATATCCCATTTATCTCATCATAACTCATTCGTAATTTACTTACCTTCAATTAAAATAGATAAGAGTAATCGTGTGAGGATATGAAATAAATAAAAAAGTTTTCTTTCTTGAGCTTATGTCTTACGTTACGATTGGGTCTTACTTTAGCTTATGACGTAAGCTAGCAGTTAATATACAGAAACAGTATGTGAAATTTGATTCTCATTTTCCTGCACTCTGTGTTTAAAATTTTTACGTTCATCTTCTTTTCTAAACGTTTAAAAACATGAACCACAGAAACGAAATTTCTAAAGATTTTGATATCCTTTGAAAGTCCTCCACAAAGGACAGTGCTTCGTTTCAAGGCAGATGTAAATAAGCAAAGCAAGTACCCCTACATATTTTTCCATAATCAATTAGCTAATAGTAGCAGATTCGCCAACTGAAACAAAATTGCTTGTTTTTGTGTAGTTTTGTCTAAAAATTCAGTAATCTTTAGTTTGGACACGTTTGCAACGCATTATCTTAGAATAAAATGTATCACTAAGGTTCAATGCATTTTAAAAACGCTTAGTGGAGAAACTTTTGCTTCGTGTTTATAGGATTCATATAGCTTCATTTGTAGTTCGAGCAGTGTTAGGCTATTTGAATATGGCAAATGCTATGTGCCTGGTGGGAGGAATTTGAGTATACCAAAATACTTACGAAAAAGAACTTACGAATGCTATCTGCCTAAAGGGAGGGTTGTTTCCGTGTAGGGCGTTGTGAAGTAATTCAGATAAGTCTGATAAGTTTCATTAATCATTTTATAAAAAAATCATCAGTATTTCAAAAAGTATTATTTTTGGCCTGCATGTTTTCTCAAAAGCCTGAATAAAATGCATCTAAGTAAATCCATTTGACATATTTTCAAGCTAAGCTGAATCGCGAAGAATAAACTTTGCCGACATGGATCCACGTCTGTGCGTGACTGAAATGCCATTGAAAATTTGCGAAACCTCCGTTACCTGCGAAGAAATAAAATAGTTTTTATTCCTCTCAGTGAATAAAATCATTGACCGGGTGCTTCTAAAAACTCTAACTACTGCGAAGAAGTTATTTGGCGATAGTTGTTGGAAAGAACTTTTACTAATGGTCGATCCTGCGCCGTGGGCCATTAATAACAGATGTTCCTGCAGTCGAAAGATTCATAATGGATCCGCTCCATCTTCCACACCTGGGCGCTGATGAATGAATCCTAGAGAAGAAGATTCAAAAGCAAGCACCGAGGGGACCCAAATTAGATCCTCTGTAGAGAATGAAGTTGTAATTTCCTTTTTTTCTGTGGCCTTTTCTATGGCATATATCAATCTCTTTCTGAGTGTCTGGAGTCAACTACCTCTTATTTCGAAGTCACTTGGAAACTTATGAAATTCAAAGGCTATTAAGAAGAGAATACGCACGCAAAACTGCAAACATCAAGTACAATAGAATTTCAACTACCAGGATTTGCAGCCTGTTTAAATTTCCGATAAAACTGGCTGATTCTTCTGATTTCTGTTTCCTGTAGGAGAAATATGCATTTGCCGTGTAGCAAAAAAAAGCTTTTGTTTTTCCTGTATATCGCGTTTTATTTTATTTTTATTATACAATAAAAAATTGAAATATCTCATTTTCGCAGAACAAAACAGAAAGGAAAAAAATGGCTGAATGTAAACGTTAAAATTATTTTTATTTACTTGAACACAATTCGTTTCAAATAAGCTAAAACAATGACACTAATATTTATTTATACAGAGGTTTAAAACTAAATGCATAATGTTTTTTTTTTTTTTTTTTTTTTTGTTTATTAAAGTTAAAAACAGAAATTATTTGTCTTAAGCGAAAGAGTAAGAAAATCGTCAGGTAAAATCAAACAAAGATATTATTTTACATTTGCACAAAGTACCGCAAGAATAAAATTAGTAGTACAATACATATTATTATTTTTTTTCAATTACTTCTTACAAACAATCTGTAAGACGTAAATAAGTTTGTAAAGTTGCAATAAATTCATCATTTTAATGAAATAAATAAATTCATGTAAATTAAAAATAAGCTTATCGATTTCGAACGAAAAACTAGTATTCCATACAGTGGAATTGAACATAATTAAAAATTTACTATAATTTTAAATTATTAATATTTTTCATCTTATAAGAAAAGAAAGCGTGATTATAGTTGAACAATTTATGGCTGGTGTGTAGTTGAAATTGATTTATTTGCATAACGGATTTTTTTAAACCACTATAAATATCTACGCCAACTTTCAAATCGTAAATTACAGTCTAGTGCTTCCTATCTACTTTTTATTTTTAATTTGCGATACCGTATTTCTTGCGTATTTTCCCTCATTTTTAGCATTAAAGGGTCATTAACCGAAAAGGGCTATTAATCTCGAAGCGACATTTTGCATCGGTTCATTATAAATGTCCGTTTCACTTTTCAGATTGTTGCCACCAAATATTATCGCCCTGTATTATATATAAAGAAATTAAATAATGAAGAATCTGCATGAATGTATGCATGTTTCTCGCATTGTACCCAGAGCCATCAAATTTTGAATAACGTAATACTCCACTCGAATATGGACACCTGAGAAACATGAAGTAGACAATAAAACAAATTCTAAATTCGGGCTTCCGGATGGATGTCCATGTTCGAGTGGAGAATTACGCTGCTCAAAATTTGATGACTCCAGGTACCGCTGTTTTCCAAAAATGCGAGAAACATACATACATTCATGAAAATTCTCCATTATTTAATTTTTTTAAATGTAATACAGGGCTATAATATTTGGTGGCAACAATTTGAATAGTGAAACAGACATTTATAGTGATTCGGCGCAAAATGCTATTTCGAGAGTAATATCCCTTTTAGGCTAACGCCCATTCGGGCTAATTACTTTCACAATTTTTAGAAACATAGTATAAAATATATTTATATATTAAATTAATTTTTTTCGGAAACATAGTATAAAATATATTTATGTTTATAAAAATTATAATCTACCTAGCTTGATATGGTTCGTAATTTGGAAGAGCAATTAGTCTTGACAAAATTAAATTGCTTTGAAGCAAAAGTGCTTTAAATTTTCCTCCTGCTTATTTTCATTGTTTCATCTGAACTCAGCAAGTGACAGAACAGATTTAATTTTTACGTGCGAGTAAACGTTTAGTTGTTTGACATTTATTTATTAATTGATATCTAGGAATATAAAGAGCTCTAGCTAATAAAGAAGAGTCAAGTGGTAAAAGAAAATTTTTTTAGCAAATTCTTGCCCCCCCCCCCGGTGACTGCAGGTACAAGTATAGAACGAAGAAAATATGTTTTCCATTGAAAATCAAAGAACGAACTTGCCCTATGTATTTATGTATTTTACTCAAATAAATGTGTGAAGAGTGGAAAATTAAAGTACATAAATAAAATAGAAGTCTATGCTGGCTTTAAAATTAGGAAACATCTGACATTAGAGGATGTGTTTAACCCTTGAAACATTTTTAAAAAGCAATGTAGTGAATATTTTTCTTAAATTTTTCGA